ACCATTCTGACCAATCATCTCATTCTCCAGACACCCCCCGAATCTCCCCAGAGCTAGATAATTTTATTACCCTTCAACAACAACCCTACCACCTTAATACCCCAACCATAAACCAAATCTCCTCCACAATAAATTCATCCAACCCCCCTACCCCTACACCCTCTTCAAATTATACTGAATCATTAGCACCATCATCCACATCAACTGAATCTTCACTAAACACTAATAGAGCTTACCGCACTTTTAAAAGAAAGTTCCCCAACCATCCTTTCCCAGCAAAACCAGGAACAGCCCGTGAATACATCAACCACCCCAAGCATACTAACACAAAAGAATTTTTAGCCATCACCTTACCCTCATTCCCACAATACACCTTAAACACCCCCCACGACACTAACGAAACACGCAACTTTGTAGATGAATACGTTTTAATGCCCACTCTCTCTTGGACCTCATATTATCATTTTACTAACCCTCTTTGCTTACCTTTATCTAACACTCACATCGATATAGAGCGAAATACGGTCATGCTATATCGACTCACTACACCACTAACACCTAGACAATTTACTTACGTTGGATATAAAAAATCACTAAAAACACACACTGCACCTAGAGCTAACGAATATACACTCGAATACTATGATCACAACATCATCAGAGCTAACCAAGATCAATTCTTAGACGACGATCGCTTCGCTAATCCACAAATTACTGAGAAATTTTTCATCAAGACACCATATATATTTACACTAAATATCTTCGACCGAAAGTTTGATCACATTATTTCAGAAGCACTAACAGACACACAAGCATACGAAAGTTTTAAAGAACGCTTCCAAATATTTTCACTAACCTTTCATTTCCTTGCACCACACGAAAGAGATTTACACTGCTCACACGATATTATGTTGCGCACTAAACAAACCCACACATATAGTTATTATCGCTTCATCCAAAATCACTTTGACCTACACACACCCTCTAGACAACCACACCATCGTTTTCAATTCATTAATTCCAAATACACTTCACCATTTTTCCTAAATTTCACATATTGCATTAAAGATACTAACCTTCATGGTATTCTTCGTAATTATGACCCCATAACCCAAATGTACATCTTCTGTCCCATCACCAAGACCTTCAACGCCGAAGAAAACCGACCCTTCCTTATCCCGCACGAGTTTGTACAACCTATAGAAATCCCAATTTTAGAATTCATCCACAACACTAAATTCAATCACAAATTATATAATCTAATCCAAAACACATCTTATGAGTTTGCAGTTGGCACTGAAGAACTAACCACTATCAAGGCACTCCAATTGCTTTGGCCACTGCTTCAGACTAAAAATATCATCCGCATCTTAGCTAAACTACTAACAACTTCCGATCTCATCCACGACATCTTCCCCCACGGTTTTTTCCCCGACGACTAACAGGTAAGTATGAATTAAATAAATATTACTAACTAATTAAAATATTAAAAAACTCACCATACTTTATCCATGTTTTCTTTAGGTTTTTAGCCTTCATCCGACAATCACCTACAAAAACCACAAAAGACAAATAAAAATCGCAAATTTCATCAAACAGATTTCAATCATTTCTATTAATCTCTTACACTTATAAATTTATAAATTTAATACCAATGCAGTAAATTCATTTCTAAAATTTTCCCCACAAGCAGTAAATCTAATTATGATGAAAATTTGTAACTTAAAATTCCCCCATAACTAGCAGTATTTCCAAATTCTATGCAGTAAATTAATAAAATGCAAATGCAGTACTAACCTTTTGATATTTTCATTCATTCGCACAGAAATTCTATCCACACTCGCACAGCTCGCCCACGAAGAATTGTTTAAAATAATGAATTTCAGTTTCAAGTTTTCACACTCAACAACTCTAACATATAATAACATGTTTCAAACCTTCCTTTAACCCGGTTGGAAAGGAATTATATACTAAACAAAACTAACCAACGCAGCTTACTAAATACCACAAATCATAGAATAACAGCATGACTAAGAAAAGGAAACCAACGGTACCCAAACCGGATTAACCCAGTTTAAAACTGGATAATTTATTCTTTTGAAGACTATTATAAGTCTAAGAAAGAAATAATAAAACACAAAAAAGTCGAAAGACAAAACCATACCACGAACAATTTACTTTTTGGAAAAAGGACATAACCAACAAGACATAAGAAAAACCACAACAAACCCAACATAAAACGTTGTCACATAACAGGACCCCTCACAAAAACCGCATGAAATCATACTCCCACTCCTGGCCTAACCCACCAGGAAGGACGTCCTGAGCATGCTCTATAGCCGGCCTAACCCACCGCGCTACATCCACGCTTTGTGACCACACCTCTATTTTTAATAAGAGCTACTCAAGTGTGAGTAACTCTTCAAAATAACCGAACTAAAACAAAAAGCTTTTGTGAAAACAACTAACTAAAATCATAATTAAAAAATATTAAACTAATAAATGTTTTATAAAATGTAAATTACATTATGCAATACATAGATCAGAATACAACACCAAGGACGAACATCTAAAGACAAAACGACCCCACTACACTCGAGAGAGAATGACCAACCACAATCGATATGCCACTCACAATCACAACTCAAAGGATTTAGAGTACGACTTGACTTCGCAGAAAAGGACTTCATTGAACTAGACCAATGACCACCTCGATGTTCAAGTATACGTACAGATCCGAGTAACCAGGCATCCCCTCCACGCACAATCTCCACGCAGAACAGAAAAACCTGACATAGCAAACCATTCTGAAATCAGATTTGAGTTTGTTGCAAAGACTTAGTCGTTGTCACTAGAAGACACAACGTCTTATGCCTCTAACTCCAGCTTCCTGGAACTTCTTTAACAAAGAGGAAACAGAAGAAATATGAGGTTCGCCAAACACCAACGTCCATCATCCATCCTTCGAATTGCAGAAGAACTATTCTAAAAAACTCTGTAAAACCCGGATGGGTGGAACCTGATCTAGACTACATTTTATGATTGGATAATTTAGATATTTTACCAATGTAAAGTATTTAATATTAACCAATCATGATCCATCTAACTAACAACCCACTTATTTGTAAGTGCTGAAGTTACTTGTAATTTCAGCACCAGAGAGATTTGAATTTAACTTAGAAATTAGTTGGACTCTCCCGAGCACTTCAGCAGCCGCAATAAACCAGTATACCCTAGATCTATTGAGCCTAGCAGAGACTAGTTAAACAACCTGAGACTAGATAGTATAAGAGTAAGATTAGGATCGGTATTAGACTAAGAAGTTGCACGAATCTATCCGGCCGAAAATAAGATAGCGTGACGAGCAGACGGTGTACCCTATCCGAAATTACTCTATGAGTTAACCAACTCGGTCCTAACTCAATTTTGATTCGAGTTGGTAAAATTACAACCAACATAAAAATAAAAATTCCAATACTACAGATAATTGAAATGCTAACATCCACAACATATTTGTAGCGGTGATTTTGCTGCTAACTGAGTCTTCCAGGAAAGGAGTACAGATGAAAAAAGTCGCGTGAACAAAGTTATTTACAGGATAAAATTTTAGTACCCGATTGCAATACCCTTGCTAATCGCAAGGGTAAAAATATACAAAGAAACTTCGAAAACATTCTCAAAAACAAAATTATCGGGCGCCCAACAGAAACATTTAGTGATGACCTACGTTTATTTTTCTTACATCAAAAAAAATTGTATGAAAACGGTTATTTCAAAAATTTGAAAACTTAAAAAATTCTTGAAAAATATTAGAAAAGTTTCAAATTAATACCACAAAAAATCTTCATAGAATATCAAATAAAACTATAAAAAAACGTTAAAAATATATAAAAACATCATTCCAACTATGAAAAATTTTCCTAATAAGAAGTTCAAAAAATTGATGCAGCTAGGCTAAAAAAGAGACTCCTGTTAAAGAAAAAATATGCAAAAATGAAAAGGTCAAATATCGTCATTAATTGTGAATTAGAAAAACCACACTTTTTTAGTTATATTCATCACTCGCCAAACGTTTTTTTTTGTATACTTAGAAACAGAAACAAAAACCAGGTCATAATTTAAAAAAATATATTAAAAAAATCATTTAAAAAAATCTTTAAAAAATAAAGGTTTAGGATTGTTTTTTGAACAACAGCATTTTTTTCATATATTCGATATTCTATAACCTTGAATCGACTTTAAAATCTACTGTTCTGAAATCAACTAAATCTGAAATCAACTAAGATGAGAATAAACGAGCGATTAAACCTTCTTGCTCGAAAATAGTTTTTGACTAAGAAAAAACTTTGGTGTATGTAGACCACAAAACAAAAAAAAACTTAAATATATGCATCTTCTTAGATGCTACAAGACTCTCATGGCTTTAGTTGAAAAAAAAACCATTTCGGTTGACGTTTTTTCAGTTGACAAACAAAGACGTTCACCGGGGAGAAGTATAGTGCCCAATTGCAATACCTTTGCTTAAGAGTCGATGAACGTAGTGAAGACTCTGATATGAGTCGTGCTGAATTTTTTAAGAAGTCCCAACCTTTGTTCACGCTCAAATATGATTTTGCGTGGTTTGGCTATGATTTCTTCTCAAGTTCAGTTAATTTACTTTGTTCTGTTGGAAGGCAAACTCCACTATCGAACCGAAAAAGTGTAAAAGTCACGAAAAACGTGATCGACTTCTAATTTCGAAAGTTGATTTTAGTTTCAGATTTCCTAGTGGCATATAAATTTTACCTGTTGATCCAATTTCCTCAATCTTGGTTAATTTTACCGAAAGTTTTTACATTCATTAAGTTCTTCTTGAAATTCAAAGAACTTTAAGGCCATAATTTTTTTTACTTTGAACTAAGTTAGTTTAACTTAACTTTAAGTTGACAGTTGGCTATGTTTGCAAGTGTAAATACATACCTCTGACAGCTGAGCAGTTTCGTTGTATTCGTTTGTTTCAGCCAGTTCAGCCGAGAGTTGGTCACAGAGACTGGCTTCCCAGGGATGTGGATTACAACACTCACAATGTGCGTTTGGTTATCCAAAGTCCAATTCTAAATACTCCAGGATACCACTGTCCTTAGAAAAAAATTGTACCATCAGGTACACCTAAACCGTTCTCAGAAATTTCCTAAAGCTATGCAAAAAAGCCTCATTAGGCTAAGCAGAATATTATCTGTGGGTTTTCTTGGCTTCTGATGAACTCAGGAAAAATCGCGAAAAAAAAAATTTGATTTTGCCCATGTATTGAATGTGTGGTGAAGTTGGGGTGAGTTGAGCGTTGAGTGTTGTGTTGATTGTAGCGACAGGGGAGTATGGGGAGAATCTGTACATGACGAGTGGGGGGGAGAGTGAGGGCAAAGTGGCGAAGGAGGGGTGCTTGTCGTGGTATGCGGAGGTGGCCTCCTACTCGTACCCGGGGGAGGACCAGGCATACGACCAGTGTGGAGTCTCCTTCTCCTCAGTCGGACATCTCACCCAGGCAAGCCAGCACTCACATTACGCCTTAACCAATGAGCTAACCGAATTCATCTCATCTTATGATCCACTTAACCCATTCTAAACAAAATCTGGAACGAGAATTGCTATGAATCATTTCAATTCAGAAAACTGAATTGCGATTAAGTGGCAAAGACTTAGTGTAGTTCAGACACACTTTAAGGTCGTGAGCAAGTTCTAGTTTCGAACGCGCTATTTAACTTTTAGATTTCCAGTGGAACAAAAAAACTTACCTATTGACGTTCTGGAAGTTCCAAGATCTTTGGGGTCTACGTTTTTTTTTCAGTTAAATTTTCAAAATTCAGCTAAAGTTTCAAAATAGAAACTGTCTGTTGGCTAAGTTATGAATGTTTGGCTATGTTACGAAGTCACATTTCTGTTGCCATACATAGTTGAAACTAGTTGTTGCTCCCTGTCAGGTTGTTGCATGGTCTCCAATAACTGTTCTCTTTTAAATCCAGCAGAGATTTAAGTCGTCTGGCTGATCTTGATGGAAGAAAAATTGTGAAATGAGACGCCATTCTGTGAGGTTGTGATTGAGTTTTGATTGTATATCTTGCTTGTTGGAATGTTGGCAGATGATGTGGGCGGAGTCTACTAAACTGGGGTGTGGGGTGGCCTCGTGTGGGGGCAGGGGGGGCTATGTGCTCACCTGTCGCTACTCTCCACCCGGAAACTACATGGGCCAGCCACTCTTCTCCGACGACAACTTCAAACGACTGTGCGACAGCGAACCAGATGTCTGGAGATCATGCGGCTCGTTAGACCAATTTATACTGACATACTATTCCCCATCCCACCCCCTTTTGCTGTAAGCCGCTTCTTTTCTGAAAAGAGTTTCTGATGTTTTCATTGGCGACCCCCCGCGCGCGTTCGTCGTGACATTTAAGTGTAGGATTAGCTGATGATGCAGTTGGCAGTGCTAAAAATATTTGTCACATAAGAACATTCTGCAATATGCAGTTTGTTTGGCTCTGGAGAGTTCGTATCTGAAGGTGCAAATGGGTCACTCCAATGGGGGTCATAGCGCATTGAATCACTCAACACCTTCACATTCATTTATCTAATTTTTCTCTTTCCTTTTCAAGTGTGAGCTGCAGTGCTCGAAAAAGTGAGTGAACACTTTTCTCCGACTTTATGAACAATTTGACTGTCTTTCTTGGATCAACTAGGCTCTCTTACCGCTTCTCTCTAAGTAATGATAAATGGAATAGAATTTTGAATTGCATGTCAAATTTCAAAAAAAACATGGCACATTTAAAAATTTCATTTGATAAAAATCAATACTGGCAGCGGTATAAGAGCCCCCACGCATTTTTGATGGTGATTATTTTTTTGTTTTAGACTCTTCTAACTTGGAGATCACTTCCAACATTGTATCAGTGATTGCTGCATTGAGTGCAGTGTTCATCCTGACCAACTGACAAATTTCACTTCAGCTCACACATGACAAAATCAGTGGCCGAAACATTCGATTATTATCTGAATCAACTCAACCAACTAAACTATCCACCGATTGAACCAAACAACATATCTGCTCACCACTTGATTCCCAGCTCAACCATTCATCCTCTCTTCAACTTCCAAACCACATTACAAGAAAAGATTGTTTGCAATGTAAAATAACTAATTGATTTTTAACCACTGCTCATTTTCACAGGTAAATCCAGAATGCATATGTCTAAGACATCTGATTTAGATCCAAGGTAACTCAATTGAACAAATTGGGAATTAACGCTCATAGCCATTCGGCAGCCCCCGGGTTGACCAAAATGTGCAACCATACGTCGCATCATGCATGGTACCATGGAAGCCATGAAAAATTGCCGACGTATTTTCCATGCATGACGCGACGTATGATTCCACATTTTTTAAAGTATGGGGGACTTCAAATTAAACAATATTCATAATTTTACTAGGGATGTTGATAATTTATATGCCACCATGGAAGCTTGAATTGTATGGTTACTATGGTATCATGCATGGCGCGACGTATGGTTACTATGGTACCATGCATGGCGCGACGTATGGATACCATGGAAACATGTATGATGGTGCTACATATGATTACCAAAGAACCATATTTGGCGCGACATAGAAACTGAATAATAAAATAAATGCAATAATCTCGTGGGCATCCAAAAAGTGCTCTGAACGGCCTCAAAGACGTTGGTTGTAAAAAATCTTTTTCCGCCGTTCAGAACAAAAGTTTGGTTCCCAAGCAAAGCACATTATTATCCGATGTAGAAACTTTACCTGATGACGCCGGAAAACGTACCTGGTGATGGCTGAATAACTTTCGAAAAAAAAGGTCTAAAACAAACAAGCATTTCAGAAACATGAAAGATTATCAACACATAAAATAAAATAATTACCATAAAAAAAACAATTCAACAGAGGCAAAGCAGAGCTTCACATCACTTCAATACAACGAAATCGTCGCAAACTAAAAAACAGATTCTGCATAAAAAAATACAAGAAAAAATCAATAGAAAATTTTTTTTTATGTTTTTGATTCCAAAATTGCGCTAAAATACTCAAAAAATTTATGTTGACCAAAAGAAAACTAAATTTCTACGTTTTTAATTAACCTATTGTAAGCGAAAAAGTGATACTTCGAAGAGCATTCAGAAAGATAACCCAAAATCATTAGAAGATTCTTATTTCAATAGATATTAACTTTCGAAAATAGGTGCCAGAGACAAGCAGAAAGAGTAAAAAACATTCTCTTCAACACTTAGAAAGTAGTTGAAGATGGCCTCGGGCAAAAGAGCCACACTCGGGCACTTCGTGCCATCAGGCCAAACTCTTTTTCCCTCGGTCATCTTTCAACTATGTTCTAACTACTACGCAGTGCTCAGCAATCATATGCTTTCAGGTTCAAACCGAACGTGCGCTGCAATTACACGATCATCGCTTGTATGATAGCCATAGCTTATAGTCTTAAATATTTAACTTTCGGGTTACGCCTCTAGCTATTTAACTAAAAAAACTCCGACCAATCGATTGGGTAACTTGTTTGGAGCACCGAGGCTCAACCTAGAAAGATCAGGTGTAAAAATGACAGAAAAGCAAATATCAAACGTTAAAAATCTCAGTTTCTACTCAAACAAAAACAAAATACTAAATTATCGAAATATTTTGAGGTTCAACCTCATGTTTTTGGTTAAAACGTTTCATTTTTTTCAAATTGAAATTTTCACGCAAAACTCGAAAACAAAAATTATCTGCGCTAGGGGCAGGTTGTGTAAAACTGATGCATAAAATATCCAGGGTCACTTTCCCTGGAGAATATCAGTCCTGTCTGCGCTGAAGGTGGCTTATCTGGAGGAACTTGGCAAGTGTTCAGAAGACTTCAGTGATTAGTTAAAATTAGTTGTCGTCAATTTTGAAAAATTTGAGAACAAAAATCTTTTTACTAAGGGATTTAGTAAAAAAAATTACGTGCCTCTCCTCGGTACTTCATCAGCCTTCAATTAATCTTTTTGTCGACTCTAGTGAGAATAACTTATTCTGTCAATTTTTTAAAATGCCGTTTTTTTTTTTTTTTTTTTTGATGTTTTTGCTATTTTTTTTTTTGAGGGTTTATCGAAGATGTTTTTGTGTGGAATTTTGATTCGGTTCTTTCAGATTAAAAAAAACCTTCACGATAACACAAGAATTTTTGAAATTTGCAAGTGTTTTTTTGGATGCATAAATTTGACTCAATAGGTTTTACGCGACAAAAGCTAACAAAATGAAAAAAGATATATTTTATTTTTGTATTTGCTTAAACCAAAAAATTGTTCAATATGCAGGCAGTTGCCTGTTTTTTTTTCTAGTGAAAAGAACCCGCACTATATATTTATTGCTGCAACTACTCTAATTCTTCTGAAGGCAAGCAAAACATGATATGTTGCAGAGAAAAATCTAAGTTTTTGAAATTCATTACCTAGCTTAAAGATTTAAGATTGACCCGTTTGCTTGTTTGTAATTCTCTTTTTTTCTTTAAAAACTGGCTTTGATTTTTTTTAGAAAAAAGCACTAACAAATTTGATTTCCAAAACCAAAAAAAATCTGTTTTGAGATTTGAGCTTGCCTTCTCAGAGGTGTCTGATAAAAGGATAAGGTTTGCTTTCAAGTTGATGAAAGTTTGAGAAACCTCAAAAGATCAACATATTTTTAACCAAAATTCACCTCAAAAGGTGATTGTTTCAAATAAACTAATGAACCTCAGTTCACTCCGTAGTACGTTATAAGAGAATGTAGTTTTGGATCTGAACCATTGGGAGACTTCAGTTGTCTACCTTTCCATTGAAGGTTCACTCTGGTTCGGTTGAGTTTCGATTTGCTCTTGTGATTGTTCTGTCTCCTATATCAGATAGGACAGCTCTACTCTCGTTTTCTACGACGGAAATTGCGAATAGCAATTTCCCACTGTCTTTATTTGATAACTATCCCGCAATTGTAATTCGGTTGTTCTGATTTTATATTTGATGTATTCAGTTGTCGCGAGAAAACTGAGCATGACAGGCTCCATTCGAATTTTTGAAAAATTAAACTTCATTCCAAAACCACGTATGACCGACTGGCACACGGACACGATTTGTTTAAGACAGAGTTTTATTGTAATTCGTTTCATGACGTACCAAATAAAGCTTTGCTCCGGAATCTTCCAGATATGACCGACTGGCACACGGACACGATTTGTTTACGACAGAGTTTTATTGTAATTCGTTTCAAGACGTACCAAATAAAGCTTTGCTCCGGAATCAGAAAAATTTTTAGGAAAATTGAAAATAAAACATTTTTCACCGTTCTTCGCGCATTTTTTTTTCCAAATGTATGTTCTCAATTTACCCCCTCAAAATTTGAAAATGCAAATAAACCTCGAAATATACAAAAATTTCGTCAATTTTGGATGTGCTGTTGCCTGCTCTTTTAAAGTTGTTTTTGTAAGGAAACGTCGTTTCCATAAAAAGCACCATTTATGGTGCGACGTATGGTTTGCATGGTAGAAAAAAATTAAAATCAAATTTTACACTACAGATACTTTTTCTCAGTCATTTTTGTCATATAACCTCTATTTTACGGTTTTCTAGAGAAAAAAAATTATGGTGAAAAATCTCTTCCATACGTAGCATCATATATGTTGCGACGTATGATTTGCAAGGTGAAAACTTTTGATATTTTACCAACAGCTTGCATAACGATGAGAAACCGTTTTATTACTATTTTACTCCGTTAAAAAGCTATTTTGAGGGTTTTTGAAACCAACGTATGTGCTACGTATGATTAGTCATTTTCCATGCAAATCATGCATGGATGTGCATGGTTGCGCATTATCTTCTATGGTGGGCAACCCGGGGCAACTTAAATCACAGCATTAAGGTTTTTGGTTGTTTCAGGCCAAATTCATCTGTTTTTGAGCGACTTGATATTTCAGTTAAGTGTAAAACCCATTTTGATATTTCATAGTTGCCATGATCAAGGAAGTGTATCACCAGCAGAAACGTCATACATTTTGCCTAGTGTTTTTTTTAATTTGTCTTCCAATATTTGTGAATGATATAACAATGTTAGTTATTAAATACCGTGAATATGAGTTCAGCAAAGAGCAATGATATAAACTATAAGCTTCATTGTTTTACACATTTACTTTTTACAAAATAAGCATAAGAAAAAGAGTATTATAGCATGAATACATAAGTATAACTATGATCAGTAGAGTAGTGCCAGAAAAGATATCTACAATTGGCAACGGAAAATTAAAAAAAAAACTTCTGATAAAGATCTGAATGACGCAATTATGTGGATTATTTAAGAATGTGAATAGAATATGAGTTACACAACGAAAAGTATGACAAACTGAGAGAAGCCTTATGGTTTTATGTATTTACAAAACTAGCTTCAGGAGGATCCTTAAAAGCGGCAATATTGACTTGAGTTCTGTTAGGGGTGGGTTTATTGCCAACTTAGTTTATTGCCAACTTAGTTAACTCAACATTACAGACTAATCAAGAAGCAATTTTTAGTCCAATTTTTGGTCAGAGTCAGCAGTGTCTGGTGCATCCGAGATAGCGTTCGAACCCTGGTAGGCATAGTTGGGGGGTGTGATATGGGTGATTTTGGCCTGCTTGAATATTGAGAGGAACTCATCCAGTTGGTCATGCTTCGTTCTCTCGTCTGTCATCACCATAATGTGACAGTAGGTTCTGGCTCTAGACATCACATTGTACAGTGAGCGCAACATCTTCGTGTCCATTTCTAAGAACAACACAAACACGAAGCAGACTGCGAACTCGGCAGAGTAAATGTTCTGTTCACTGGCAGTGACTGTGACACAGAAGCCATCTAGTTCCTCATTAACTCGTTGTGCCAGTTGCTTGTAGAAAGAGTCTTCGCTCGGGTCCATAATGAAATATTTCATAGTGAACTCGTGACTCTCAATCATGGGAAAGAAATGCGGTCTTCTCTCGATATAAACTTGCAAGACTTGCTCCAGTTGTTTCTGTCTGCTCATTGGAAGTTGACTGTGATTGTGAATGACGTCAATGTCAGTCTGTGGTCCATAAATCAGATGGCCGTGGCTGGGATCATGTGAAAGCTCAGAGGGGTACTCTGCAAAGTACTTCTGCAGCTTATCTTTGGCCTTGATTACTTTTGACAATTCAGTCAAGTTTGCCACTATGTTCCACGTGTTGCGGTAGTTGTGCACGAGTGCCACTTGGTCGAACTTGTTCCACAGAGGGTTCTCCCATATCGGCTTCTCAATTTGGTTACTAGCCAGATGACATTGGTTGAAGTCAACCACAACACATGCACACTTAAGAGACAAGAAGTCACAACCACAAGCATGTGCATCATCAACATAAACGACCACGTCTGTAAGTTCCTTCAGAATATCAAGTATTTTTGTGTTACTCGCTTGAGTGTTGCAGTGAATGACTGCAACTCCACTGCTCGTTGTTTTCCACAAGCTTGGATCAAATTCACGATCTGCAATGTCTGTGAAATTTAATTTGGCTCTTTCGAAAATTTTTCTGTATTCGACTAATTTTAGCTGGTTGAAGACCAGCAGAAGCATTTTCAGTTCTCTGTTTGTTAAGGCTTGATTTAAGAATCTAGCTATCAACATCAAACTCTTCCCAGATCCCGCACAACCAGTTATGACTAAATTTGCAGACTCTTTTTCGAAAGCTGCCTCTTGATATTTCGTTATAAATTCTATACCCATGATTTGAAAAACGTTGGAAGCTTTAATTTCTTTTTCTTTTACATCCACAACATTAGAAGGGAATGGAACTTTTCCGTTTTTCCTGTAACTTTTCCGTCTCTCAGTTGTTATTACGCTCTCTCTCAGACGCTTGTCTGTTCTGACTATATCACTCTCCAGACCGATGGAGGATCTGACAAATGTGCGCTGGCTATTTGTTGCCCACTGAGTCCACAGAACAGCCTTCACTTTTTCCAAGTCCCCGCCAAAACGATCCACTGAACTGGAGTCAAGTACATTTTGTTGCCACCAATCTGCAAAAGCATCCAAATCGCTAGCAAATAAGCATTTTCTGTCAGGTAATTTGTCGGAACCATTCGTACCATCTGAGCGATTATAGCTGGGGAAAGCTACAAAACGGAACACCTTGAATGAGTTAGTCCGACCGGCGTCTGCTGTATCGGTGGATCTTTCTTCCGGAAGGGACTCTTTCGCTACACCCCTGATCATGTGTATTAATTTGTCCATCTGTTGACATCCTTTTTCATAGAAGCTAGAATGGTTCTCTCCAGTGTTTTTCACCTCAATCAGAACAATATAATCTGGTCCAATGACCACAAAATCGGATTCACCTTCATCACTATGCAAAGCTTTTTTACCTCTACAATTGGGGTAACATTTTTTTGGGTGGTTAAGGTCCCACATTCTATACTGATAATGGGTGTACCGAAAACTGTGAAGGACGACAATGTTTTGGCCTTTCAAACTTTGTACAGCCCGATACACTTTAACCTCTGCTTCATGATCTTCCTGCTTCTTCTTGTCATTAATAGCATAGTAATCTTGCTCTACAGTTTCATCGTCTTCAAACCTATGGAGATCGATATACTGGTTGTCGGGACAAGTGGGAAACATCTGGGCAAACTCTTCGCCTTTTGAAGAGAACTCTTCAAACAGTTTCATCCCCATTTCAAAATAGTCTCTTGTTGATTTCAACTTATGAACTTCTTCGGTAATTAGATTTTTCTTACTCCTCAAAGATTGCAGCTGTGAGATCAATTGGGTATTTTCACTAACAAAATTGTCAATGATTTCCTGGAACTCCTCCAACTGCTGATCGCTGTCCATGCTGGGGGAATGACCTGAAAGAAGCTCCACAAAACAATTTGACCTTCCCACCTTGTCAACTTCCATTAAACCACTCACTACTTGCCTGCCACTGTCTATTCCAATGTTTTAAGACATAAAATTTTGGCCAACCACTTGGAACCAGATCTAAACTATATTTTTATTATTGGATATAAATTGGATATTTTATCACTATAAAATATTTAATATTTGAATTTAACTTTGAATTTAACTTAGAAATTAGTTAGCTCTCCAAGAGACCTTCTAGTCATCGCAACCAGCCAGTATACTCTAGATCTATTGAGCCTAGCAGAGACTAGTTAAACACCCTGAGACTAGTAGATATAAGAGTAAGATTAGGATCGGTATAAGACTAAGGAGTTGCATGAATCTATCCGGCCGAAAATAAGATAGCGTGACGAGCAGGCGGTGTACCCTATCCGAAATTACTCTATGAGTTACACATCGGTCCTAACTCATCTGGTGCCACCATAAATCTCGAATAAGACCTTAAAAAACCGATTAGCTTAAGAACTAACAAAATAGATTAGAAATAGACAAAAAGCATTTCCGAAATGTTACATGATAACAATTTAATTGAAATGTCTCTACGACTCAATAGATCAGAGCCGCTATTCCGTACAATACTAGAACTACCAGGTATTGGAAGAAGACCTCGGACGAAAGAAGATCTAAGACTCCGAAGAAACTTACCATTAAGTTTTATGGTCGTACGGCGAGAGCCAGAACAAACTTTTATATTTAGAATTTTACTAGCAATGAATATAGATTTTCATTTGCAAACAAAAAACCTTGAAGACAAATCTTCAATGACACATCTTCAATGATAATTTCAGGCGCTATACAAAATTTACTATTGTACAATAACGATTAATCAAAACATCTCAAATCGTTTTCTCCAAATCTGCAGTATAATTCAAAAAGATATCTGCAAAAAAATTTATTCAAAGGAAAATAAAAATTAGTTAACTGATCATAGATTATTTATAAAAATAAATCATCGTGTCATCTCAGCTTTATCACCTAAACATAATACCAATCATAAAACTACTAACATCGTTAAAAACTAAACTTTTCTATCAAAGAAAATCAAAAATTATTTTAAAAGGCTTATCCTAAATTTAATCTATTATTCACTTAAATTTCTCTACACCTTAAATACAGATCATCAAGGCTTTCCTTGGTTCTTTTTAACGTTCTAACTTAAATCATATATACCACTAAAATTTATACCTGATCATCAAGGCTTATCCTTGGATCAAATAGAACAAATTTGTTCTCCCCCACCCTATTAATAAAGTGTCTAACGACCTCAAACGTCGATTCACTATCCAAGCCTTTCAAAGACCCAGGACTAATAGAATTTTTTCAAATCACTCTAACCATTCTAATTAGGCTAATCAGTGAAGAACTTCTGTTACTCATCCTTCATTTGACCCCCCCCCCCCTCTTACCTGACCCAGGCTAAATCTTAAATCTTAGTAAGTTTAAAATAGTATCTAACGAACTACTTGCATTCTAATTATACCTGAACCCTGTAGATCGACTTACTGTTCTCCAACCCTTGAACACAATCACTACCCCTAAGTAACATTAAGTAAATTAATACCTTAACTTAGAATAGTCACGAGAAAGTAACAGTCATTCTCCGGAATCGATATACTTTTCTCTCCAACCCTGAATAAAAAGACCCAAGTTAGGCTAACCAAAAAATCATAAGGACTAACAGTCTAGAATATTATATTCACTAATAAAAACCTTGCATCCTTCATCCTAAACCTTATGTCACTGAACATTTTAGGAATTAAACAAACAATCGTATTACACAATTGCGAAAAAAGTATCGAAAAATAGGATCTCGTGATCACACCACACAAACAAACAATTGGATTTATTCGAACAAAACGACCAACAAAAAAAAGAAAAATTATAGGCAAACAAAGACAACTTTGCGTTTCTTCGCTTTGAAAATTTTTCACGTATGTCTCCGAATCAGAAGTCAGTAATTTAGATGCACTTTGCAAACTAAGAGAAACAGTAAATAAAAACTACCCAAATCACGACCAATTATATTTTTCCCATTCAAAAGCCACATCACATTCATCAAAACAAGGAAAAAGAAGAATAAAAAAGATATACAGAATTAAACCAGTACGTTTATATAATTGGAATCAACCAATCAGACGCATTGAACACTACGCACTGACAGTTATAAAACGAGAAAATGAGCCAAATCCCAAGTGATGGAAGTCCAGACAAAAACTCTGTTTTCCCTTTTATCATATATTCAATCACTGAATATAGAGGACAAAGACAATTCTGTACAAATTTAAATGCAAATGTACTCGAACAAGGCATTAGCCCATGTAAAGCAGAAATCCCAGAAGCAAAAATCAAAAGACAAATTATCGATCATTATTTAAAAGGAATATGTAACCTAACACAACCATATGAAATCTACACCATAGAATTCAGCACAGAAATTCAATATCATAGCCAGCAAATTAGCAACAGCACAAGGCTCAACATTGGTAAATTATTGAAAAATCTAACTTTTCCTAGTTCCCACGAGAACAATGAAACAACACAAAATCTTAAACAAACCATTTAAACAAACATTCCAGATAACAGATATAAAACACAATATCATTGGCATACCATTTATAACTAAATATATTCCCACAACAAATATTTTAAATAGTAAACTTCATATCAAAGACAAGTACACGAGGATAAAAAAGTAAAGATTTCAAAGATTAGACAAACAACCACCATTTTTCTCTAAATTCTATCCTAATTTAAATTTAGAGGATTTAATTCTAAATTCTATCTAAATTCTATCCTAATTCTATCCTATTCTCTAATTTCTATCTATATACAATCAGCAACGAAAAAAAACTGAAACCACTATCGGGAAATGTATATAACTTTTCAATCAAACAAGCTCACCAATTTGACTAAAATCAAAACAAAAAACAACTTTTTATGTCAGACCTCGAATTCAAACCCATCCATAAATTTTTCAGAATAACATTTTCATCCATAAAATATATGAAAAACTCAAACTCGAACATTATTCCAATACAAGCATATAATAATTCACAATACCAGATAACAATACCTCTAGGACTCTTAGGATACTGTGAAACAAATGCTACAACTTCACCCACAAACGAAAGAGCATATCGAGTCAATAATTTTTTACATTTACTAGATATATGTCAATCAACAAATCTTGATGAAGAATTATCAATAAACAACAGAATAAGCAATGAAAAAAAAAACACAGATTGTTTCACAAAACACCATATTTTAAACCAACGTTTAAAATATTGCATTATACAGAAGAACAGCAAAAATTTCTAACATTGTTTAATTTTCAACTTTCTCAAAAAACACAAAAACGAATTCAACAAATTAGCCAAACTGTTACTAGAACATCCAAAAGTTTATGCAGCATCAAATTTTGATGTCGGAAAAATTAGTTCACCACCACGTTTAACTTTAAAACTTGACGAAATTTTCAAAAAACAAAGATCAAGCAAAGTACCAATACACTTACAGGATAAAGTAATTAGACGACATGACATTTTAGACATTAAGAAATTATATCTCCAGTCAATAAAGAAGAACAACCAGAAGGTAACAACTTTATTAACCCAGTTATCTTTTTTGCTAAAGGAGAATCACTAAAAATTGTTCTAGACGTTAGATATCTCAATTCCCTAATTGACGAATCTATATGTAATTAGCCCATAGAACCAATTCAGGTAATTTTATCAAAAAACATGGTAAATATTTTACCACCGCAGACATGAATAGTGCATACAATCAAATACCAATAGATGAACAATAGCGACGTTTAACACAATTTGTTATTGGAAATCAACATTACGAATTCAACAGATTATTCTATGGAATATCCATAGGACCAGCAGCTTTTTCAGCTTTTATGAGTAAAATCTTTAGACCACTTATACTCAAGAAAAATGCAATCACATACTTAGACGATGTTTTTATGCAATCACAAACTAAAGATGAAATGTTTTTAATTTTGGAACAGTATCATCAAATACTCAAAAATGAAAACATGAAAGCAGTCCCAGATAAATCACATTTTTTTCTAACACGTGTAAAATGTCTTGGACATTTTATTAAAAGAAACACTATAACTCCACTAAAATCACGCATAGACCCAATTCAAAAACTTCAGCCACCCACGAATAAAAAGAAAATCCAAGAAATCCTTGGAAAGTTAAATTTCTTAAGTAAATATGTATACAAAATGCAATTATGTTTAAGACCTTTCTATAACATCCTAAGACAGCAAAACAGCTTTGAATGGACTACTGAACATCAAACACGATTTGACGAAATTAAAAAATTGCTAACAGAACAAATATTAAATACAATGCCAGATCCAAATCAACCATTCTCTGCAATGTGCATTGTTTTGAATTTTGGCATCGGCGCAGCATTACTACAATCACACAGTGGAACAAATAAGATGAACCTAATATCAGCAAATTCTCGCTTATTTACACAAGCCGAACTACGAGTCTCTACTCTCATGAGAGAATGCACAGGTATAATATACACACTTACAGAATTTGAATTTCTGATACTCGGATCAAAACATCCAACAATTCTTTTTACGGATCACAAACCGATTATATTTCTTTTTACACAAAAATCGAACCCAAACCATTTACAAAATTCAAATAATTTTATAGAAAAATCCAAACTTACATATAGTTTGGACAGCAGGAAAAAATCTTGCATTACCAGATACACTAAGTAGAATTACACTCCCTGAATTACTCACACGAAAAACTACAGTTGAAATACCACAAAAGATTAAATTTTATCTTGCAAAAAACGAAACATTACCACGACTAGAAGGTAAATATGCAGTAAAAACAGATTTAGATCAATCACAGATAAACAATTTACAATTTTTGCCAGTCTATTTAGATTGTCAAAACAATCACTA